CTGCCAATCTGAGTTTCTCTTTGGGAATACATTTGAAAACATTACCTCCAAACATGCTTGTTTGATTACAAATCTTGATTAATGGTTAAAGGTATTAGAAATAATGAAGGGAGCAGTGATTTTCAGTGCTAAAGAATAAAGATGGGACTGAGCTTGATATCAATAAAAAAAATAAATGACTTTATGAAAATTGGCGTTAAGTTTCAATAAGGCATGAAGAACTGAGGAAAGTTAGTGGAATTCATCCGATTAGATTTGACTAATAAACTAGCAGCTTGTCAAAGATGAACTAGCATTAATTCATCAAAACCCAAGTTAATTACGAATATTGGAAGCTAATTAAGACAAATGGGAGGATGAAATAAGGAGATGTCAGCGTGCCGAACCAAGATAAAAGGTAATTATTACCAGTAACCCACCAAGTTTCATCATCAATCTACAAGGTATAACATAATTATACTTATCAAAACTACCAGTACCATAACTATGTACAGTAAAACCCGATTTACCGCAAACCCCGATTGACCGCGGCCATCTCCTTTCCCCCAAATAGAGCTTAAAATGCATAATGTAAACAAACAAAACCCCGATTTACCACAAACCCCGATTTACCGCAGATGTTTCCTTTCCCCAATCTCCGCGGTAAATCGGGGTTTTACTGTGCCGTGATACATCATACATTCCGATCAACAAAATATTGTCACGTACGTGAGTTTACTGACATTGTGTACAATTGAAATGTGTACAAATCATTAATAATAATATTTTTGTTTTGTTTTGTTCAGGGAGTATAAACCACACAGGTCCAGGATCGAGATCAGAAATACAGGGTGGGTAAATGACATGACCACCCTGTAGACTGTAGAGTGAATACCGTACGATTAGGCAAGGTGCTAGGTTATGGGACACACTTAACTTGAACTACCGCCCTTATACTATCCCTAGAAAACTAGAGAGTCCATAAATCTCCCTAAAGAGATTTGAACAGAGTGTGAACCATTGCCCTCATGATCTGTGGATAGAGTTCACAGACATAGTATCTTTTGTGTTGTTGTGATCCTGAATAATGAATATCCTTTGTCCATAAAGACTTAATTATCCTTGAGAAATAAGAACAAAGTAAAATAATAAAACAACACTGAATTCAATATCATGAGGAAAATGGCCATGGGAAGGAAAAGAAATCACTCTAAGGAAATGAGTAAAGAGCTAAGAACTTTAAAAGTCTCAAGATATAACATAATCAGAGGTCTAATTGTATAATTGAGAGTGGATTGCTGCTTGAGTAAACTTGATATAACTGGGAAGTAAAATAATTCACACTTATTAGGAAAATCAGAGAATTAGCTAAGAATTATAATCGAGTTGAGATGTGGTATGAAAATAACATAATTATGGGGTCTACCGTCTAAGTGTATACCTCAGCCTACTATCTTACTATGAAAGTGAACTGGGAGTTATTAAGAACTGTCTGAGGGTGAACTGAAAGTGAACTGGTTCTAGAAGGGCTAATTATAATAGAAAGAAATTATTTTGAAATCCGATACATCCGGATCCCGATGGCACCATGGCGGCACTGTCACGGCGCTATGGTGGCACTCTCGTGACACTATGGGGGCACTCTAATGGTGGCATAGTGCCCACTTGTGAAAACATAATGAAGGTAAAATAATGATTGTCTTAGGCTTTTAAACGAACATGATTAAAAGTGGACACTATACCACCAGTGCCGCGACAGAGCCGCCAGAGTACCGCGACAGTGCCGCCATGGTGCCATCGGGATCCGGAATCCGGAATCCCGATATATGACATCGAAATCATTATTAAAGTTTCAACACTATCCAGGCTACAACAAGCTAAATACACATAATAACAACGATGAGAAGAATTAACCAATCTCTGTGTACTAATTATTATTAACCAATTAACGATGACGTGAAAGAACCTATCTAATATAGTCAATCGTCGCAAATAAACATTGGAAGAAGTAGAACTATAAATTTTATTCTTTGTTTTACTTAATCAACATAATATACTGTAATATCAATATGTGAAACTACAAGGATAACAAGTAAAATCACATCGTCAACGGTGCTTATGTGTGTCGTAATCTTTATCAGAATCTTCAAATTTACACGTCATAATGATTCACTATAAAACAATGTATTTTCGTGGGCAATAATTTTCGCAGATTTTTGAGTCTAAAAAAATCGCGAAAATAAATTCACCACGAAAGTTAATGGTTCCACAGTATGCACTTAATCAAATAATAAATCTTTGATAAGATGAAAGTAAACTGCGTGAAGCCCATGCCCTAAAAACCAAACGCTTGGATTAATTGTTAATGCAGAAGCTCTGAGGAAAGTAAATTATACCGTATGTTTCCCATAACTGGCCCAGGATGGAGTTTCAAGACGCTGCAGGTATGTTAGTGTCATTGTGGTGAGCGGCCGTTACTTTAATGGTTCTCATGACTAAGTGTAGTATTATACATATATATGTGAACATTGTTGCAGCTAATCTGTAAATGGTTGTAACGATATGCCAGGTCTAACATATTTATATGTAACGTACCATGACACCTATTATTATACATGTTATATGTTATAGGCCTCTTCCGTGTCAAGGGTAGATTTGAGGGCTGAATGACGGGTGTTATATGGGAGGGGTGGCGAGGGGTGAGGTGGTGACGGGTTGTGAGGGTTGGTGAGGGGTGGTAAGGGGTCTCCTCTGCAGAATAGATATCATCAACTTTATTAACAGGTATTATGCCGCAGGTTAAATTTTAGAATTAAGTATTGAACACCTTATTACTTTATTAGTATAATCGTCCCTATAACTATAACATATAAGTGCAATACACATAGTAATTTAAATAGTTATAAATATAATCTATCACTAACATAATTTCATATATTATAATATATACTATGCAATATGCATGAATCATGTGCAATGTGCATAATTAGATCATTATATAACGAATCTTTTATCTATATTCTACGACCTACGTCGTGGTTGCATTTCTAATTTCGTCGTGCATTACGCATAAGGGGTCGTTCACATATTAGGTACGTAATCAATTATTGGCAATTTTTACCCCCCCCCCCCCCCCCCCCCTCCGTAATCAGTTTTACACATAGCTATTGTGTAAAACAATAGCTATGTGTAAAAACAAATGATTACTAGCGTAATCATTTGGAAACCCCCCCCCCCCCCCCCTCGGCTGATTACGTAATATGTGAACGACCCCTAAGAACTTTGTGAACGCTGTCCAATACATAATACACAATAGCCGCAGCCGGTTTCATTTTGTTCAAACGTCGTCGCCGACCAGCAACCACTAAAACAACGGCGGACAAAACTGTTGTTATAATAATTAAAAGTACGCAAATTCAAAATTAGAAGAATACGTTCGCAGTTCAATTTGGAATTGGGTAAAAAAAGTGGAGGTGTAGCCATGGGAATCCAAAAGTTTAAAAAATCACGGCAAAATGGTCAATCTGGCCACACTTTCCCCCTATTCTAACCATTTAAACTTTTAAACTTAAACTTTTTCTGAAAATTGCAACAGTATTTAAAACTAACAGTGCAGTAACTAATTAGATGGCTAGTTATATAGCTTTGTTCAACCAGATAATAAATATGAATTTGATAACTACCTGCATTTTCGTTTTACCAACGAATCTAAGTTGTAATTTTAATTTGCATAATATTAAAAGTTTTTGGAAAATCCGGAGGGGGTGGTTTTGAAATATCGGACAATAAACCCGGACAATGGTGAATGAGAGGTCAGAAAAGCTAAGTAGATGTTAAGATGGCCCCTCATATATTTCCAGCATACCTCAATAGCTCAAAGATGCAAGTTACTCACATGACAAAAGAGCCAACATTCGTAATTGAGCGCGCAAATTGGCATTTGCAACGATTCAAAGCCTCACTTGACCATGTCGCGGTATAATATCACAATCCGTAGGAGTAGAAAACAGATTACAGGCTTATTTGCATGATTACCGTCCCATTGTTCTCAGAGTAGCGCTAATAGCTCCCAAATTGGGTACAGGCTCCAAGCAGATCGGCAGCGTGGCTGAAATATTCTGTCGCTCAACACCGGTTAGGCCATAATTATGGTAATTGAATGTAAGATTGTCGAAATTTGTGAACCATTTTCAAACTTCCTTGCGTTCTGCCTGCAACTGATGAGCCTAACATTTTCCGTGGTGTCAGGACTAGCGTGTCACAAAATTAAAAAACTGGATTTTGATCAAGCGCTTCTTTACTATTCTTTATTATTATAACTGTTAAAGTTATACTACCCCCTATTTAATTTGCAGTTGCGGTACTTTAAATTATGATATTTGGATGCGGCAACTGCAACGTTACGATATTCAAATGGGGAGCTTGTGTCAATGTACCAAGCGAACTGTTATTGACATTGAGTGAACTTAGCGCTGTTCACAATTCAAGACGCTACCCAGAGTGTAATTATAACGGTGTGATTGAGGTGTGATTATAACGGTGTGATTGAGGTGTAATTATAACAATGTGATTGAGGTGTAATTATAACGATGTGATTGAGGTGTAATTATAACGGTGTGATTGAGGTGTGATTGTGGTGTAATTATAACGGTGTGATTGAGGTGTGATTATAACGGTGTGATTGAGGTGTAATTATAACGATGTGATTGAGGTGTAATTATAACGGTGTGATTGAGGTGTGATTGTGGTGTAATTATAACGGTGTGATTGAGGTGTGATTATAACGGTGTGATTGAGGTGTAATTATAACGGTGTGATTGAGGTGTAATTATAACGGTGTGATTGAGGTGTGATTGTGGTCTGTGGAGGCCCAAAAACGAGTCTATACGGATAGGAAATGCGAGTTTTTCATCACAGTATATAATATATGGTCAATTGGTCATTAAAGTACAATTACAAAGTACGATAACTTTTGTATGAAAATCGGAAACAACTTCTTTGCAAAGTAACCATGACAGTAATTTAAATGTGAATGTCATGGAAAGCTAAATCTAAATAAACAATCTAAATAAATAATCTAAATAGATAATCTTCGTGTTTATAATTTAAATGTAATGTTTACAATGTAAATTTAATAATTATAAGCTAAATTCCAGGCCGCATGGGCCATGGTGCACGAGAAATACTGATAAGAGAGTCATCATTTTCTCAAATTAAAAGCGGATCTCTTCTATATAAATGTATATCCTAGCTTGATTGAAACACAAGTAGGCTATCGACGAACCTATACGTCCAAATTCACAGACAATTTGTCCTACTAGCAAGTGTCTGATCTTACTAGAGAAATGTAACCTTATTTTTATCAAAAATACAAGTTTCCGAAGTATGATGTTAATCTGAATTTGGCTTAGAGAAGATTGCCCGTGCAAAGCTGTGTCCTCAATTTTATTGATTGTCTTGAGAGGAATTCTTGAAAACGTGATCTGAATGAAATGAGGGGTGAAAGATGAGGGGTGAGAGATGAGTATTCGCATTGATGTGATAATTATGGTAACATGACATAAATTACATTTCGCATGTCATCTTCTATCTGACAGATTAACAATTAGTTGCGTAAAAACGGGTTATACAAGATTTTAGCGAGGAAGATTTCCGCGCCTTACATCTAAGTTAACATACATAGTTCTCTCACGTGCCTAAAATTAAATCCCAGGCCCAAGAAAGGAAGTAGGAACTAAACCTGCCGTACTAGCAACCTCTTCTTTGTCCCCCTCTGCAACCTCTTCTATATTTCTGACAATAGAAGCAATACTTGCTCTTCTCATCTGCGAGGCGGTCTTAAGGATTTCCTCCTCCGTATCTACGTCTAGCTGACTATTTGTAGAACCTGAGACGTAATTAACTTATTAAGTAATTAGCTTATTAAGTAATTAACTCATTTATTAAATTATCAGATGTTATCCTTTCAAGATATTTCCGTAACGGAAACCTTTTTAGCACTTAAATCTTTTCTTAAAAATGTTAAAAATGTTAAAAATATTAATTATTCTAATCAACTATCTAATCTTGGATAAATAAAGGTGTTACTAGCAATGTAAGTAATGTTTTACCAGCAATATAAGAAAGGTGTTTAAACCGGCAATATACGAAAGGTTTTATCAGCAATATAATAAAGGTGTTACCGGCAATATAAGGAAGGTGTTACCGGTAATATAAAAAAGGTGTTACCGGCAATATAAGAAAGGTGCTACCGGCAATATAAGAAAGGAGTTACCGGCAATATAAGAAAGGTGATGCTCCAGAAGGGTGTCAGAGGTGATACTGGATTGTCTGGCTGGGTTGTAAATACCAGAAATTTTTCTCTCCTTATCCGCTTCCACCTGAGAGAGCACAGCTAAATAACGCACTGTTAATTAAAGAACTCATATTAAGGTAACTGATAGATTCATTTTTCTCGGCTCCATTCTCCAATCATCTAGTCTAGTGGATGTTTATTGTTTAAGGGGGCAGGGGGGGGGGGGGGGGCTTTATGAAAATTCTCTCGAAATTGACTTAATAGTTGTTTTTGATAGAGGAGTGATATCTATCAGCTATTTTTGTTCCTAGCCGAAATTATTGCCGGTCAAAGGTCAGCGCATATGTGTAATTGTATTGCGGGAGCGATTTTAAATCGCGTGCCTTGAAAATCGAGTCTAAAAATCTATCATCTCCTACATTTTTTGAGCAATTGCCTTGAAATTATCAGGGTATGTTCTAAGGACCATAATATACTTGAGATTCTGTTCTATCAGAATTTTAAGATAAGCCTTATTCGATTTTTTAAATCTTGGAGTACCTCGTTTTTTGACGATTTTTTCAGGTCAAAGATTTTCACAATTGAATAAAAAACAGAATCATCTAAATGGCCCTTAGAATATATCCTGAAAATTTCAAGGTGATTGCTCAAAAAATGTAGGAGAAGATAGATTTTTAGACTCGATTTTCAGGGCGCGCGATTGAATATCGCTCGCGCAATACAATTACACATTTAAGCGATGACCTTTGACCGGCAATAATTTCGGCTAGGAACAATATTTTGTTAGTGGAACCAAAAGCAGCAGATGAATATCACTCCCCTCGACCCCTCTATCAGAAACAACTATAAAATCAATTTCTAGAGAAATTTCATAAAGACCCCCTGCCCCCTTAAACATGTTCGGTTCCGAACGGCGAACGTTCGTTTCTCGATCACAATCAAATATCAATCGATAACACGAATCCTAATAACCACTACTCTTGCACTGAACGGATGCGACAGACGACAGTTGGGGTGACCGATAACTGTACCAAATTTGACCTAGTTCCCACACAGTTAACAGGGCGCCTAATCAGCTTAATTGGGTTCCCAATCAGCCTAAATCTCAAAACGACGACTGAAAACGTGATCATTACAGCTGCACCCAAATACGACATCTGGACCCAAATTTGTTTAGATCAGACTATACAATTCATTACCTAAATTAATTTCTTTAATTATTTAATTGTTTCTACTTCTTTCTTTGTTAACTTTAATAACTTTAACTGAAACTCTACCTGCCACTTTAGTTTCCGCTCTGGAACATCGCTAGGTCCCTTCACTTTGGAACGGAGCCAATCCACACCACGAACAAACTCAGTCATGTTCCCGGATTTGCCTGAATTGAAAATAATCATTAATCTATTAATGAATTATAGCATCCATAACACGTTTGGATGCTGTCAAATACACTTCTATTGATTGGTCAGCGTCGACAGTAAGCCTTCCTTTCGGTGGCTTTCACAACGCGTCCCCATTTCTCCAACTCTTGCTGCTGGAGAGACTCCCAAATTATATACCATAAACATTTATTAAACATAGATATCGACAACAGACTCCGAGACAGTGCTGGACGCCACCGCTGTTGATTTTCCGGCCACGCCGCCGCCGTTTTCAAACGGCGTACACAGCGTGAACCTGTATATACACCGAATGCGCCGTTTCGTAATTTTTGCAAGGATTGTTTGAACGAAATCCAACATTTCAGACCATATTATTTTCTATATAATTTCAACACGAGTGGATACTGCAGCAGGCATCACTAATATCGATATTTTCCCGTCGATCTACAAATGTCTAAGAAATACGTCCCGCTATAACCACGTCACATGACATGGAGGAACGCACACGCGACTTCTAAAATTAAAAACTGTTAAAAATTGCTCTCCACAGTCCACATGGCATTATTCTAGAGGGAAATTTAATCTGCGAAATCACGTGACCTCACGCCGATTACGCCGCCGACGATTTTAACCACGCCACCGCCGTTTTGAAAAAATACGGCGGCGTGTAGTGTAGCACTGCTCCGAGAGTCTTGAAGTTCTGTTACCACCGCCCCTGGTGCAATCCTGCCGGGTTAACAACGGAGAGACAGGGACTTCCAGGGGAGATCATGGCCTTATATGTTGCCTCTGACTTCTGCTGTCTCTGATTTAACTAAGAGACAATTTAACTAATTTCCATTCTAATTCCATATTTCATTAAAATTTCATCGAAGCATACTTATAAAAAATATCGTTCGAAAAACATATGAAAGTTATCACCAGAAAAGTTGTTAGTTTTCTTGTTCATGGTGATCAGGTCACTGAGTACGTCTCCCTTCCTGTCCCTCCTATCCAACTCTTCAATCAGAGATTGTCTTCTCTCCCGCAACGCCTGTACTCGATTTGTCTTACTGGAAATTTAGAAGACTTAACAGCACTCGGTGTAATTCTGTAAAACAAGTATGTATTCTGTGCACTTATATTCTGGGTAGCTTGAGTGCACTATAACACGGGTACCATCTCTAATATTTAATTTAAAGTTGCAAAGCATTTACTATTCACTTCCTTGGATACAGAAACTTTTATAGTAACCTGTCCTTTCTAAGATTGGCGGTGGATTGTTTAGTGACTCTAGGTAGATCTGCATACACGTTAGCCATCACCGGGATCCCCTCCTCCTCATCACTCTCCTCGTCATCTGAATCCACCTCAACATTCGGTATAGCTTGGTTGGGAGTGGGGTACCCCAGTCCCGTATCTTTGGTTGCTCTCTCCTTCCCTTTACTGATCACGTGGCTTGTAACAAGGTTCAGGTCAGTTTCCTCGTCTTCTTCCCCGTCTGAGTCGTCCATTTCTACCAATGGTTTTAGTGGCACGTATCCTGCAGGTGTTGTTGGAATAATTTTTATTTAGGAATCGTTCACATATTATCTTATTGTTGTTATTCACAACAAATTTTATTGTTTATAAAAAACCTGGATTCTGTGAGCTAGAGAGAGTGCTCTTTCTTTTGATCCGTTTGGGTGGGTCTGGTGCACTGTCTCCAGTCATTATCACTGAGGCTCTAGTTAGCAGATTAGCCTGAAAAGAAGCGGATTTAAATATATTACAGTACTTATCTATAACCGTGTGAATGTTACTTCAATAAAAAAATATATGCGTGACTCTTCTCCACTTAGAGGATTTTTTACTATTTATCATTTGAACAGCAGTAAACCCATAAATTACTGGGTTTATATATATAGCTCCCCGTGCGGAAATCAGACGCCTTTAAGTTTTTATCTTTTCTTCCGTGAAAGCTACGCGAATACGAAGATTTTTCCAGAAGCTGCTGCGAAGCTTCGATCCAGTTGAGACAATATACGTATAGCTGGTGAAAACATAGACTTTTAGAACGTTTTAATTGTTTTTCAGATCTTCCTCCGATATGATAGTGACTCGGTTTAACTAGTGCCGTTAATATAATTCTAAATGTCCGCACAAACTAATATAAAAGTATATAAACTTCGTAATAAACAAGAATTGTACTTGTATCTTGTACCATTAATTCTTTCGAGTGAAAAGTGTGACTGGAAAAAGTGCAACATATTTACATTATACTATGTTTTTAATAAATGAGTGGGTTTCGTGCACGGTAAAAATTGACGATTTAATTTGACCAATGTAGCGCCGCGCACATCGACAAGAAATGAATCCAGAAAATTGCGGAAAATAACTTTGCGAAGGAGGAACTTCACTGCAATTAATTAACACATGGCTAGCGTCGCGCGCAGTATAACAGACGCTTCCAATACATATAATTATAGTATTTCTGCCTTAATAGAGCACTAAGTTATTTTACCATGATATGATGTTTTTATTTTACGTTATGCAACTTTAGGTAATGTCTTGATGAGTTAGCACTTAGCAGGGTCTTCATTTCATCTTAAGTGTATTCGATCTTATTTATTTAAACAGGCAGATTTTGTTGCTCGATTTTCATAGCTTCAGCATTTGCTTCATTATATCATCATGTATTTAATTAATAGTGATCTTAAACTCTTTCAAAAATTTATCAATTACCCGACTCAAGCATATTGATTGATGTACGTCAAAGTTAGACCAGGCAATTGATCAGAAAATGTGTGGTTACAAAGCTGGTTATCCAATTAAAGTTACAAACACGGCTTACTAATATTGAAGTTCGTCCCTTATCCGGTGGTGGTTTCCTCTTCTCCTGCTCCTCCAGTAATTTCTTAGCTTTAGTTGTCTGTACAGATGGGACATACGCGTCAGCGCACGGGACTGTAAAGACGTCTTCATCTTCTACCACTGAGTTCCACTCCCAGACTTCTTTGGAAATCTGCCAGATTTAATGGTCTGTTTTATTCTACACGGCAAAAGATAGGTTGTATTAGTGTTGATGTGGCAGTTTTCGACAATATCCAAGTTTCTCAGCCGTTTTGATAAACGTAACAAGACAATAAAAAGGTTGCTGAATGTTGTGGGTGCCTATACTATCGGAGCTTTCGATTACTAAATCGTGGATTCTTTTAAATGAATGTCTGTTAGGAAACGTTTAACAAATATATGTGAAAATAGATTGACTTCTACCTTCAACAGTTCTTCTTTTAAAAACACAAGCTCAGCATAATTATCCTCAAATGCAGTGACGAGAATGATGTAATTTTGAACTTTTAGAGGGTTTAAAGCCGGTAGATTCGGAACTTCAACTGGCTTTTGGTGCTTCCAGAACTTTTTGTGGATAACGTCCCGGAGATCATAGGTTGATAGCTCTCCGTGATCATCTGGAAGCAAGATATCAAATATATTTTTAACAATTCGAATTACATGTAATGCATATAAAACAAGACTTCCACGATTAAGTTTTCTGATCCGCTCCTTAAACGCATCTAGAATGAGGTCAACCTTTTTCCAACAACAGCTTTTGAACAGAGAAAAGAATAAGGAAACTACAGTTAATAAGTTTACACTTTACAGGTCAAATTATTGCCATGGTTATCACCATGGTAACCTTGCCTTGGTTTCCCTTTTCCTCGTGCATCTGCTGTAAATCAAGCTCATCCTGCTCAGCAATCGCGCTCTCCTGTGAACAAGGTTTTACTGTACTCTAGAAAGTATGGTAACCGTCAATAAGTTTTCAAGTTCGACTGACCATAAATCCTAGATGAAATTCAGATGATCTATAGTCACCATAAAAAGTAAAACTTTGTAAATTATCCGTCAGGAATTGAGAGGCTCACCAAGTTTGTGACAACAACAGCAACCACTAAATTAATGAGAATGAAGGCTCCGATCAGAATGAAGATAACAAAGTAGATGGTTGCCAAGGGAAACTGGTTATCCTGAAACAGATATGATAAATGAGGTGACAGGTCTAACAGATTAATTCTAAAATTTGAGCCTAGCCTATTGCCTATTGGTCAGATTGAAGGAATACTGCCATAAAATACCAGTCAACAGCACTATATCTCGATTTCAACTTTTAAATGACTCACCCTGAGCGTGTTAAAGATCTCTACCCAGCCGTCGAGAGTAATACAGATAAACAGGGTGAACATTGCTGTTTTAGTCAGTTAAGGAATAATAAAACGCTTTCTGCTTTAATCTGTTTGTGGTTAATTTTTATTGCAGTTTTGCTCAAATTTTATGCAAGAGGTATAAAAACGGTCCCGAAAAGAAACCACTGGTTTATCGTTTACGAGAGTTCGAGATTCGCGTTTTAATAATAGTCGTAAGAATTACGCGGTAAAAGCCGCGCATTTATGTTATGGTGACTCAATATCGACGCCAAAGTTTTCATATAATAAACCTGTTTGGCTTTCGCGCCAGCCACTTTATGTCTACTCTCTATTCTTATTTTATCCAAACTTAAGGGGGGGGGGGGGGGGTTCACCCTGATTTTTTTGTGAAACTTAGTTTCGAGATAGTAGTTGACCAACAAACTAGGACCGGTGACCGAACTTTTGAGGGGGTCCCGGACCCCAACCGCCAAACGGTGCCTGCGGGGCAGCCACGCCCATATTTGATCCAAATGAGGCCCAATTTAGCCAAATACCCTGAACATGCCCAAAACCCAGATTTTAGGTGCTTTACTTGTAGCTAGTGGTCCCCTGAACTCGTATATGAATTTTCATCAAGATTGGACAAAAAATGACTGAGTTATGAGCCAAAAACCATATGACCATATTTGGGCATACGCACCAAATTTGATCGATTTTGGCCCATAAATTGGTCAAATATCAATATTTTTGAATGAAACCAACTTTATATGGAAGATAAGCCTATACTACAGATTCTCTATGATTATCAGCTCAATATCTACCTAACTGTGGATTCTGAGTTCAAATAGTTGCAAAAAATGAACAAAATCGCCCATATCTCAGTTCGCGATATTTGCAAAACTGACTTCGCTCAAAACAATAGAACTCAATAGGGTTTTAATATTTTTTCATGAAATTTTCAGAATCAACGTAGAATCGCCTCATGACCTTAAGTTTTGTATTAGAATTTTGAGTTAGGCCTTTAAAAAAATTTGGCGGCCAAATTCTGAAAAATGCCCGGCAAATTTCAGAATTTGGCCGCCAAATTTTTTTAAAGGCCTAACTCAAAATTCTAATACAAAACTTAAGGTCATGAGGCGATTCTACGTTGATTCTGAAAATTTCATGAAAATATATTGAAACCCTATTGAGTTCTATTGTTTTGAGCGAAGTCAGTTTTGCAAATATCGCGAACTGAGATATGGGCGATTTTGTTCATTTTTTGCAACTATTTGAACTCAGAATCCACAGTTAGGTAGATATTGAGCTGATAATCATAGAGAATCTGTAGTATAGGCTTATCTTCCATATAAAGTTGGTTTCATTCAAAAATATTGATATTTGACCAATTTATGGGCCATAATCGATCAAATTTGGTGCGTATGCCCAAATATGGTCATATGGTTTTTGGCTCATAACTCAGTCATTTTTTGTCCAATCTTGATGAAAATTCATATACGAGTTCAGGGGACCACTAGCTACAAGTAGAGCACCTAAAATCTGGGTTTTGGGCATGTTCAGGGTATTTGGCTAAATTGGGCCTAATTTGGACCAAATATGGGCGTGGCTGCCCCGCGGGCACCGTTTGGCGGTTGGGGTCCGGGACCCCCTCAAAAGTTCGGTCAGCGGTCCTAGTTTGTTGGTCAACTGCTATCTCGAAACCAAGTTTCACAAAAAATTCAGGGTGAACCCCCAGCCTTAAGACGCATTTTATCAAAAGGATACCAGTTTCTAGACTCCCAAAATAATGAGGACTATCAGCAGCAAATAAGCTGACTCCTATCACAGCAAACACGAACATGAAGATTACCAAAAGCAAAATGATGTTGGCCATATCTGAAGATAAGAAGATTTAAGATGGGATACCGTAGTGTTTATTTCAGCCTACCGTAGTGTTTATTTCAGCCTAGCATCACACAAATCTTTTTTTACCAAAAAAAAAACTTACTTATAACAAGAGTTTCACTTAACATAAAGTATTGGACTAAAGAAAAGTAAGTAAACTTCTAATAAGATGATAAATCAATAGTTTCGCATAATATTATAGTAAATAATGTAATTAAATTAAACCTGGTAAGGACTGTATAATCGTCTGCACAACTAGCTGTAACGGTCTCAGTGCACTGATACTGCAAATTTGAAATTGGTGTAAGATCCTGATTATGTATTCCTTGATTAAGTATGATGATGGTAAACCCCTTAGAATGAATGAAGAATGGTGCAGTAGCAAGTTGTTGGGTTCTCTGCTAGAAAGTAGGAAAGATGTCACCAGAAGAATCATGTTAGCCAATGTAGCATTCCAGAACTTCAAGAAGGTCTGGTGCCAGAGTAAGATCCCCCTACAGAAGAAGCTGAAGGTCTATGAGGCCCAAGTAGTATCTATCCTCATGTATAACTCTAGTTGCTGGGGAATGCCTAAATCGTACTGGGACAAACTAGATGCATGTCACCGTAACCACCTCAGAAAGATCATGAATGTCAGCTGGCCACGCAGTATGATGTCCAAAGATATCCTCTACAAACAGAGTAACTCTATCCCCCTATGTCTGAGCGTGCTGAGTTATCTAGGTGGAAGATGCTAGGACACATACTGAGGAGCGATGAAAGATCACCAGCTCAAGCTGCGCTGTGTTTTGCTGTCGAGATGTGTAGTGAAGTTGGTAGACTCGGGGCTCACAGACGTAACCTCTTGCACCACCTGAAGGTTGACCTCTGGAAGCGCTTCATCTTGCTGGAGTCGTATGATGATATTCTCCATTTGAGAGAACTTGCTAGTGACCGTGGTTATTGGAGTAAATTGTTTAACTTTATACTTGAGTACAAGTCAATTTGATTATTCTAAATTCTAAATTATTTTAGGATTGTTGACATTTGTAAGATTGACATGTTTGATAATAATAATTGATTAAGTATCCTGATAAAGTATTCTTTGATTGAATTAATGACCCTCGATTTGCATACTATCGTTAATAAATCAATAATTCAACTTAATAACCTTAGTTGGACGGATCATATTACGTTTAGTAGTCCAATCAAGTAGTTAATTAAATGTTTAACTTAAATAAATAATTAATTACCTGCGGAGACTCCTGAAAGCACGGAGTACTCTGAGGATTCTCAGGATTCTGCTGTTACTGATGAAAGTTAGACTTGGTCCAATGAGAGATGACGCCACAATTATAAAATCAAATATATTCCACCCCACCTGAGGGCAGGTTTATTGTCAACAATAGACAAAAATATATTCTTTGCACCCCATGGCCCATATATATGCAGACTTGGAGGAATTTATTAATTACACAGTAAATCACCAGATGATATTATGCACAAACCTTCCAGTAGGTAAAGAATTTATTAATTACACAGTAAATCACCACTTCGAGATGGCAGGGCCTACTCTCGAAGTGATAATAATAATTAAATGTTTCGCAGTAATAATGATATTACGTTGAACGTGTAATGTAAATATAGTGTGGATATATGCGAATATATATTCTAATAACTAGTAAATCACCAGATGATATTATTTACAAACCTTCCAGTAGGTAAAGAACCCACCGTACCACTTCAGAAGAACTTCACATATAAATATGGTGAGAATGAGCTGATCCAGTGCCGAAAACAGGTAACCAAACTTCTGCTCCTGAGAAGCAGCTTTGTGTTTGTCACGTGCTATGAAATTTGTCACGTGCTATGAAATTTGTCACGTGCTATGAAATTTGCCACGTATTACTATATTTGCCACGTGATATTATTATTTTTATCACGTGCTATCATATTAACAATTGTCACATGTTATTATCATACTGGGAACGGTTGTGGATGATCGGCATTGTGTAAAAGAACATGAAAATACCTAATCAAACATATTATGTACGACTGGTGATGTTTGCCAAATATTTGCCTATTTCACGTTGTCATATCCTCCACATTTTTTTAAACAGTGATTATAGTTTAGTGAAAAACTCAACTGAACTGAAATTTACCACTGATACAGACAGACTAAGGTCTAAGTGACTAACCATTTCTTTGTCAGTTTGCAGGGCAATGAAGACGGAGTTGATCACGATGGTACTAAGGATGAACGTTCGGAACGCTGTGCATTCGATGAAATCTGAAGTACGTTATACTAAGTTCTGACATAAATCAGTACCTGGAAAATTCATTTTAACGATTTAGACCTCTGCTATATGATTATATTATACAAACTGTGTTTTAAGAATAAAAAACATAATCACCGCTAACGAAGTTGTTTTTGGTTATCTGTTGTTTGTCCTCCTCATCATAGTCGATTATAGAGCTGAACAATTAGATGTCATTAACAGTTAAAACCGTTATTATATGAAGTAGGAAATAAGTCAAATCTGTAGAGCTAAAAAACTAGCAGTATGAGCCGAAATACGAAAATAGATATAATACGAATGTATCCAAATTAAACAATTTATAATTAAACAAGACCAATTACGCAGCACCGCATACTTTATGTCGGCGTGAGAGTTCTGAGGGGTGTCGTTGTTATCGTCCTTCAAGTTAAGTTTGAGCTTGTTCCTCATCACGTCCTTCATGTCCTTCTTAGCGAATAGTTTGTCGTGGAGCTGTTCACCCCACATGGACAATCTTCCTCCTCCATCTCTCTCGCCTGGATAAAATATTTCATTGTGGTTCAGAGAAATTCTTGTCTGGTAGTGTTCATGGTGTTTTAATATTTCTTATTCATACTCCTTAGTTATTGCTAGAATACGCAGGTGACAAACGCTGTGGTTTAAAACTAGAAGAAAATATTTCAAAACGGTTAACTATAATTATCACTTCGAGATGGCCAGGCCTACTCTCATGCTGTCTATATGTGATGATTAACTCTGAAAAACTAGGGACAACTGGGGAATGATCCCAGAACCTCGAGATTTCGCGTCTCTTGCTCTACCAATTGAGCTACTGACCCTGATTCCCAAAGCGAAATCACCACTCATATACAGCACAATTTCATGCTTTATATAGTGTGGATACATGCGAATATATATTCTAAATAACTGGTTAACTATAACTTTTAACACTACTATATAATATTATAAAAAATGATTTAAGGAGATTCTCTAAAGATGAAATTTTATTACTTACGGGTAGTAGCATTAGAAGTAGCATTACTTACGGATAGTAGTATTAGAAGTAGCATTACTTACGGGTAGTTGCATTAGAAATAGCATTACTTACGGGTAGTTGCATTAGAAATAGCATTACTTACGGATAGTAGCATTAGAAGTAGCATTACTTACGGGTAGTTCTATTAGAAGCAGCATTACTTACGGGTAGTTGCATTAGAAGTAGCATTACCAAATATGCCCGCATTGTTAGCTGTTAGTCGTCTCATTTTGCCGCCCCAACCTTTAGATACATCCCCCTGAAGAGAAAAACTTGATGTATTTATTTATCTATCACAACTGAACATACATTTATTGTTAATTGCTTTATTTATTTATCTAAGATTAGGTCTCATTTTAAAAACTGTTTACATGATGGGGACATTTATCTTATGTTTTAGCTGTTTAGCTGTCACATTCCTGCACCCTTTTATAATTTAGATACAACAAGCTTAATTAATTCACACCATCTAATTTATTAATTATATTTATGTCGAGTGAAAATATTTGAAATTCTTATGAGGTTTTATCAGAATTAACTTGTGAGTCAAGGTGATTTCCCCCAGTGCTAAGCGAACTTTTTTCTGCAGCAGGAGCTGAAAATGTGAACAAACTTTACTAAATAGATAAAACTTATTTTTTTAAATAAAACTGATACAACATTCATTTTGCCATTTTTTTCCCCGACAAAAATCAAAATCTTCTATAAAAGCACACATTATCATTCTTGGTAAAATACATATATTGTTACTGAGGCACTCACTTAAAAATCCACTCTTATTGGACGAATTTGAGTCAAATCTCTTCAAATTTAGTGCTGATGGAGTGGAACGAGGTGAACCTGTTGAATTCGTGGGACAAGTTAATAAAGTTATAAAGATAGTTGAAACTAAAGGGGTTAAAGTAAAGTAGAATTATTCTCATTCGTTCGAATAACACATCTTAATATAAAATATCAAGTTATTTAATGTTTCATTATTCCACAACATTGTGGGCTCACTTTGGGGGCTTTTCTTCTGTCCCAGGGGTCCAGAAAGATTTAGAGAAAGAGAATCACCTAAATCCATTTCCTATCCTGTTGAAATGCAATAATTATATTTAAGTACTTATGATTAATGATTATCGATTTTAAGACGATGCTCCATCACCCTATTCAAGTCCAGAATGTTAGAAAATACCTCAAAGTTTGGAATGTTAACTCCAAGACGACAATACCGACCAGATGGGATAATCCTGAAGAGTTACTTCCAACACTACCACCAGGACCACACGCATCAAATAATAGTGGTCTGTGTTTAAATGCTATAGAACATAATATGGGATTAGTAAGGGTATTTTCATATTATGTGAGCGATCCTGGGGGATGGGGGGAGGGGGGCGGGAGGACTCATACGTCATGACGTATGACAGTTTTATTCTAGTACAGATAATGTGCATGGTTTCTCTATTTTTAGATATTGAACCAAGTTAGGTCCCTGATGCCGCACTTTCATAATTTGGTCGAGATAATCCGCCTTCTAAATTCACTATTTAAACAGTTTTAAATTTTAATTATTCAAACTAAATACACTTTTTGTAGACCCGAACTTTTATCCAACACAACGGCTACAAATGGCTTACAGAGGGGGAAAGGGGTCTACAGATTCGAGCCCCTGCAAATCAATCTGTTGGTTTGGACCGGCAGGAGGAGTTGAAGTCTTGCTACTGTTTGGTGCTGTAGAGGAGCTATGGTCTATGGAAGATCAAGCATGCTGAATTGTGCGAACTGAGAGGCGAGAGCCCTCTTTCTTTCCTTAGGGTTTTTGTGTGTGCTGCGGATTGTTTTAACATGAAATATAATTCCGTTAATTATTTATTATTGTTTAATTGTTTTTCCAGTTTTTGATGGCATTTATTTTGACGGCACTTATTTTGACGGCACTTGTTTTGAATACATTTATTTGTCCATGATAACGACCCCATTATATAATAGAGTACTAGCTACTATAACATACAACTGTAACCCATGTTAACGACTATGTGTACTGTAAAATCAGATCTTTTCACGGGCATCAGGTTTTGCGGATTCTTAAATTGGACCATTTTTGCAGCATCAATTTTCGTGAATTCAAATGATTCAATGGAGAAATTAATTAAAAGCAATTAATTTTATGGTACAAATTTCCGCAGATTTATGGGTCCTAACTCCTAGTCCTAATGAATCGTGAAAATAAGTTTCCTGCAAAAATTAATTAAAATAAAACAGTAACAGTCTTTAAAAACTTTAAAAATTCGGGTGTCCATTCATCTCTGAAAAACCTTCACATTTACTCCATCCATTGGCCTTGTTGTCACGTCTCCAATCATCACAAGATGTTTTTCCTCTGGGTTCATGTTCACAACAATAAAATTCCTCAAAACATTGGCCAAAATTACTTTCATCTCCAAAATGGCAAAGTTTTTTGCTATGCAGCTTCTGGGGCCTGTTGAGAAAGGCATGTAGGTATAAGGTCGAATGTTTTTGATGGAAGCCGGTGAAAATCGTTCTGGATCAAAAATTTCAGGATCTTTCCAGTATCTTTTATCAACGTGTAGTTTGTGGCGGAGAACCAAGAACTGGGTCCCCTTTGGAAAATAAACTTCATTTATAGTTGCTTCTGTCTTGCACTGTCTTGCAGTTCCTAAACGCCCTCCTTTGAGCCTCATACTCTCTTTGATTATCATTTCTATGTAAACCAACTTCTGGACATCTTCGAAGCTAATTTGGTCGTTGTGCCCAAAAACATCGTCAACCTCAGCTTTGGCCTTTTTGTAAACATGAGGGTCCATTGATATGAACCAGAGAGCGCAAGCCATAATGGTGGATGTTGGCTCCACGCCAGCCACCAGTAAAACATTGTAGTCGTCGATCACGTCCTCCATAGTCAGCTCATCCGAACAAGTATTTGCTCGTATTATGTAGGATAGGAGGTTTTCTTTTCCAACAGCTTTCTCCCTTATTTTCTCTAAATATTCCCTGTTTAATTTTCGCATGGGTATAACTGCATGTTTAAAATTACGTTTCTCAGCTAATCTCGACCATGGAATCCTTAAAGACATTGGATTTTTGATACTCAATCTCATGATGTCAAAAAATGCTCGCATCATCTTTAATGCTGCTTCTCCGTGCTCTTTTATCATATCCTCACTCCAATTAAATCCACACAGTGAGATGGCCTCAAAAGTGGTCTTGCGGAGTAATTCCGAGATCTCAAAGGCCTGGCCACATTCAGCTTTTGTTTTCAGTACTTCTATTAACCTGTCAGAAACGTTGTTCATTCCGCCCATGGTTGTTCGAAGAAAGGATTTGGTAAATGCTGTGTCCATGATTCTCCGTTTCGCCGCCCAAACATCAGTCCCTGGGTCTATCACAAGTCCATAGTTTCCAAACATCCGTACCCCTGCACACCAACCGGTTCTTTTTCGCAATGTTTCCCGTTTCTGAAATGCTTTTCTGTCGGTGAGAAGTTTCGGTATTATATTTAGATCCAGAGTCAAGACCAAGTCAACAGTGAAAAGTGCAAAAACCACTGTTTCTGCATCTAACTCGTTGTGACATTCACCAAGTATTTGCGGAATATTTTTTGTTGGAAACTGCTTTACTTTCATCCTTAAATTGGGAAGGTGACCCATAAACCACTTCAATGATATCGGTATTGGGAAAGAGGCAAAGTGTCGATATTGTCGTCGTTTCCAGAAGAGGTACAAGTTAAGTGCAATGTAGCTAGAGAGAAGCAGGACGGACAGTTTTACAAGGAGGAACATCTAGATACTTGTGTGCCTGGTGGTTGAATTTGCTATATAAAACAACGGGAGGAGTTAGAAATATGTAAGGAAATATCTTAAATTTAAAAGGAGTTCAAAGCTCGACAGATACCTATCAATAACATGTCACCAGGGCCGGGGTAGTGATTGATATTTTAAAAATGTGAACATGGTTTACGTTAATTGCAAAGCTTAGGGACAGACTGGGTAATGTTCATCACAAGGTTCACGCTCAAAACATTAAAACTGAGAAGTTTGATTCAAAATGACAATCATATTATCAAGGTGTGTTATCATAACAAACAAAATATAATATGCTACATAATATTACAGTCTGAAAATATAAGGATATTTAAGCAATGAAATAATCATGAATGTTTGACTCTAAACATGATAAAAATATATTATAGTATATTATTATGACTAATGTGCTCACAGACCCCATGATTTTTTCATTACAATTCCTCAATTCGATTATCCTTCTATCGTATTACAGTCTTGCAGTATTACACAGTATACATAAATTGAAATGAATGGTGCGGACTGAGAGACAGATTATTTGTTACTGAAGATTACCGATAACACTCATTAGTCTCCCTTGCAGCTTTTAGTTTTATATTTATAAAGTTTTGCATTTCATGGAGGCAGTATTTCGGTGATCATAGCTTCGTGATATCGGTCGGCAGATCTACTGTTAAGGCCAGAGGGGGGGGGGGGTAAAATTGGTTTTTACAGTTTTCACATATTTGATTAGAGCTGCTGGAGACGAACAAGAAGAAAAAAACCGGACCGAAATCTGACGTTGCGTTTTTAAGATATCGCGCGCCAAATATTGAGGTTTACATGTAATTACATGTAAAACTTAAACTTAAACTGTAAAAAGTTAAAAGTCCCTTAGTTGAGAATACTGGCCACACCCAGGAGCTGAAAAGTTTTCGAAAAATTGTCGAATTTGGGGTAAAGTTAACCTCATATTTCGAGAACAGAGGCAAATATCAAAATTTTGTACAATAGAATTGTGGGTGACAGCCCGAGGAAAAACTGTGCCAAGTTTCAGCTTCTGGGTGTGGCCAGTATTCTCAACTAAGGGACTTTTAACTTTTTACAGTTTAAGTTTAAGTTTTACATGTAATTACATGTAAACCTCAATATTTGGCGCGCGATATCTTAAAAACGCAACGTCAGATTTCGGTCCAGTTTTTTTCTTCTTGTTTGTCTCCAGCAGCTCTGATCAAATATGTGAAAACTGGAAAAACCAATTTTACCCCCCCCCCCCCCCTCTGGCCTTAACAATAAAAACGGGTAACACGTCCAGAAAGAGAGACTCCTCATTCTATAAACAGGCAGTGAAACTAACGGGCTGCGATGGATGGGGATTTGCCATCCCATAGCAACTGTTACATGGCTCCATGTTAATTTAAAACTCCGTGAGTATTTGCGGAATATGTTATGTTGGAAACTGCTTTACTTTCATCCTTAAATTGAGAAGGTGACCCATAAACCACTTCAATGATATCGGTATTGGGAAAGAGGCAAAGTGTCGATATTGTCGTCGTTTCCAGAAGAGGTACAAGTTAATAATAATAAATAAATACAACATTTATAAACCGCCTTATAGCTAAATCATATAACTCGATATAATTTAATCCTGGAGATAAACTCCAGTGCTTTCTAAAGCGGCTCTTACATTAACTGAGCTTAGTTTAATTGTAAATTAGACATGACAAGTTCATTTTACCTATGTAAATCCAAAATCAATCAAATGCTAGAGAAAAGAAGTATGTTTTAAGTTTGGTCTTCAAAGTATGTTTTAAGCTGATCTTATGTCGTATGGCAAGGAATTAAATACTTTAACTGCACAGTGACTAAAAGTGCAATGTAGCTAGTGAGAAGCAGGACGGACAGTTTTACATGGACTAAACTTCATGGACACAGATCAGATCACGAAACTTAATCAAACAATTAACAATAAATTTACCATAATATGATCGATACTTTTTTGTAAAAGGGAAAGAAGATTTGCTGACACAAAAAGGATCGATATAGATTATTATTAACAATATAAACGTTGATTTTCAATGATCTTATTAATCAGGTGATCGGATCGCGTACATGATTGATGAGGCAATCTACAAGTACAAACAAGACAATAACTGTACACATCTTGTCCAAAGATACACTTAATCAGCGAGGATTAATTGGTGAGGTGATCCATGAATTTGACTGACCTAATGAGCTAGAGCTCGGATACTCGGGTAGATATAAAGTTCACATAGCAACTCTGTACATATAAGATAGTTAGCTATACTGTAGCTCTACATAGTTGACTTAATAATTGGTTGCGGGTGAAAAAATCAGTCAAAACTGTAAAATTTCGGTCCTGGAAACTTCAATTTCAAAAACCGAAAATAGGACATAGATTTTGCAATATGATTTTGTAATTTCATTCAGTATTTTGACTCCCAGTACCTCAATTTGGTTTCATACCATAGTACCATCATCAATTAACTGACTAATTGGTTTCTGGGCAAAAATTTCATCCAATCTGTCGAATTTGTGTTCAAACAAGAATTTCGCCGCGGTTAAACCACGCACGATCAATTTTCCCGGCCATACGATGTACTTGTACCATTAATTATTTTGAGTGATTAAAGTGTGACTGGAACAAAAGTGCAACATATTTACATATTATATTATGTTTTTTATAAATGAGTGGGATTCGTGCATGGTAAAAATTGAACATTTATTTGACCAATGTAGCGCCACGCATCAACAATAAATGAATCCAGAAAATTGCGGAAAATAACTTTGCGAAGGAGGAACTTCACTGTAATTAATTTACACATGGCTAGCGTCGCGCGCAGCATATCAGACGCTTCCTATACACATAATTATAGGGGAGTGGTCTATATTGCGAAGGAGCAGACTTTTGTCGTCAACGTAGGACCGTCGGGCCACCTCATATATCCAAACCCGATTACTTATTCCCTACGATCTTTTTGCCTTCGGCAAGAGCAGGGAAAAAAATTTCATATTTAAAAATGGGACAGGATTTTGAAAAATACAACTTTTCGTTTTGTTAAACTTTCTGCTGTGGGCTTCCTCCGACCGAAATCAAACTTCCAGCGACTCAATCGTGTCATTTGGCATCTATAGTTCAAGACTTAATAATTGGTTGCAGGTGACAAAATCTGTAAAAACTGTAAAATTTCGGTCCTTGAAATTTCATCTTCAAAACTGAAAATGGGACAGAGATTGGGACAATATGATTTTGCAATTTTATTCGGTATTTTGACTCCCAGTACCTCAATTTGGTTTCATATCATCATCAATTAACTGACTAATTGGTTTCTCGGCAAAAATTTCATCCAATCTGCAAAATTTGTGTTCAGAAAATTTCATATTTGAAAATGGGACAGGATTTTGAAAATACAACTTTTCGTTTTGTTAAATTTTCTGCTGTGTGCTTCCTCTGACCGAAATCAAACTCCCAGCAACTCAATCGTGTCATTTGGCATCTATAGTTGACTTACTAATTGGTTGCAGGTGAATAAATCTGTAAAAACTGTAAAATTTCGGACCTGGAAATTTCATCTTCAAAATCCGAAAATGGGACAGAGATTGGGACAATATGATTTTGCAATTTTGTTTGGGATTTTGACTCCCTTTACCTTAATTTGGTTTCATATCGTCATCAATTATTTATTTCTGGGCAAAAATGTCATCCAATCTGTCGAATTTGTGTTCAAAAAATTTCATATTTGAAAATGAGACAGGATTTAGAAAATACAACTTTTCGTTTTGTTGTAACACTCCTACCGTGGGCTTCCTCCGACCGAAATCAAACTTCCAGCAACTCAAATTGAGTTACTCAATCGTGTCACTCGGCATCTATAGTTGACTTACTAATTGGTTGCAGGTGAATAAATCTGTAAAAACTGTAAAATTTCGGTCCTGGAAATTTCATCTTCAAAATCCGAAAATGGGACAGAGATTGGGACAATATGTTTTTGCAATTTTGTTTGGGATTTTGACTCCCTTCACCGCAATTTGGTTTCATATCATCATCAATTATTTATTTCTGGGCAAAAATGTCATTCAATCTGTCGAATTTGTGTTCAAAAAATTTCATATTTGAAAATGGGACAGGATTTAGAAAATACAAATTTTTGTTTTGTTAAGCTTTCTACCGCGAAATCAAACTTCCAGCAACTCAATCGTGTCATTTTGCATTTATAAGTAAAACAAAATTTTTAAGTAAAACAAAATTTAAATTTTATTGCCATTACAATGAATAATGATATCATAATAAATATAGGTAGACATCCGATAATAAACTTGTTACATCCAGTACAACCCAAGATGTCAGCCGACGCGACTTACAAAAATAAAGAAAGCTAGCATGTTATGTTCATTGTTCATAGTTGATAGTTTTTCTAACGAGCATGCTTAGCACTTAGGCTGTACGGAAATAGCTTTAATTCTACGTCATATTAAAAACTTTACATCATTTTTGAGATACAAAAATAAATTTTAAAATAAATAACTCTTTTGCTGCTTAGGCGCGGCACCGCGCTTGACCCACATGCTATACAGTGTGTAGCAACACATCGCTGAAAACAGAAGCTGAATGAGCTATAACATATAAGCGGTGCGCCGCGCCTAAACCTAAAACCATAAACTTTAAATATTGTCAAGATATTAAACGAGTTTTGCAAAATAATATAGCATGCTGACTTCGTAGGATATTACAATCATACCAGTGCCAGTTCCAAATGTGAGTCGCTTAAACCAAAAGCAGTTGGCAAAAGGAGCCAGTTGCCTGCAAGAGCTTTACTAGCACCCGATTTACCACTTTTGGAGCACAAACTCAAACCTAAAATGTAAAACCGGCCAAGCACAAAAATATGTTATCGCCACGATTGGGTGGATTGATTCCCAGAATATTTGTAGCGCGATGCGTTACTGTGCCGCGCCGCGCACTCAATAAGGCTTCTCACAAATATGTTATCGCCACGATTGGGTGGA